CATAGGGAGCCCGAGAGGTTTGACGGCCCAAGCAAAGAAAGAAAGAGAAAAGAAAAGAAAAAGGGAGTAGAAGTGTAAGGAGAACGGCAGAGGATAGAAAGGATGTAAGGGAGAAATGAGAAAATATAAGGAGAAGAGACCCGAAAACTATTATTAGAGAATTTTTTTATGTGTAATTAAACTTACTTTTATTCTGGAGACTTGAGACCTGCGAGATGAAGGCGGTAATGGTGTCGTCAGGAAACTTGATCACTTATACTTGTTGATTATTTTCGACTGATACCGACTGAATTATTGACAACTGAATTATCGACAAACTGATAAACTGAAAATGTTCCGACTGTGTAAAAAAAGGACGTAACAGAGAGTGTGTGTTCCTTGCTTTTAAGAGCACTATATATATATATATATATATATATATATATATATATGATTTCGTTCAGGAAAACATCTGTACACGTGTTGTTTTTCCGCGATTAGGATAATAGGGATTATCCGCTTAGCCAAATTCTTAGTAACCGTCTCCCGGAAGAGATCAGTTGCGTAGCCGTCGCGATCGTAACAGAACATGTGTCATTCGTTTATCTGCTTAACTAAATTCTAATAACTGATATTCAAAAGAGAAGAATCATGCAGTCGTCAAGATGTAACATCGGTGTACTTCCGCGATTAAAATAATAGGGATTATCCGCTTAGCCGAATTCTAAAAATCGACTCCCGGAAGAGATCAGTTGCGTAACCGTCGCGATCTAACAGAGTAACAGAACATGTGTCACTCGTTTATCCGCTTAATTAAATTCTCATAACAGATACCCGAAAGAGAAGAATCGTTCAGTCGTCACGACGTAACACCTTTCGCCTTTTTAATATCTTTTCTGCCGTCCACCCTCACCGCGTACATCTTCGCTCTGAGTCCGACGAATTCCGTCATTATCGCACCGTTATTCTCATCCTTCATTAGACCGGGTACTTTTTTATTCGCGAGAGGCATCCCGTATGCATTGTCCGTCGGATAATCGCTCGTATCGAATCTAGCGATATCGCGTTTCATCGCCTCGTACACATCGTCACATTCGATGTGGTATACGAGACTGTCCGTGTCGGTGTACATGATCTTACATTTCTCGCGATACAGCGGTGACATGTATTTGTGGTGAAATTCGTACAAGCAGATTTTCGATATGTCGAGTATACACATACCCACGTAAATCGGCTTGTTGAATTTTACCTCGAGTTTACGCAGTTCGACGGCGATTAAGTTTTCCGCAAAGACGCTGCGGCTGTGGAAATTTGGTTTCGCGATCATTGCCTCCGCGCCATACCGTCCGTCCCATTTGGTCAAAAGTTTAACGTCGACGTGATTGCGCACATTTTCCATTGTTTTACCGAATACTACGTTGTTCATTAATTTGTACAAATTTTTCTCAAAATCGTTTTTCGCGTACGTACTAAAGTGTATTAAATTGTGTATTAAATTCGATGTAATCGCGGAGCCAGGATTGAGCAAATTCTAGTACGCGATATATCTTTGCGATACGAAGACCATGGCGCGTACATTGCTGCAGGTTGCGATAATGGATGACGTACCGCTTCTTATCGTATAACGTCGCGAGAAGTTTATCCTGCCGCGTGCCGGGTGGTTTATCGCGCGTCGGACAGAAAGGTCAGTGTATCGATCGTGCAAATGATGCGGATACTCGAGATCGACCTCGAGAATATAACCCGTAGACGAATCCGGAACGATCGCGCTCGCGATCAAAGTTCTCAATGTCTTCCATCCATCGAAATTCGGCATAGGGCAGCGGTTGACACATCGCCCATCCGAATAGATTATTTACGTCAAAGTACATAAGGTATGACGACGATTTCGATAGGTCGGACGAACGCATGTACTTATTATTGGCCTGCGCGTATCTGCCGGAACATTGACTGAGACCACCGCGTATACCGCGTTCGATAAACATAACCATATTGATGTCGGTGAGCAACTCAAATTTTGCGCGTATGTTTCAACATGGCGTCCCACGTGAAACCTGGCAATGTGTAGTAATGCGCGGGATCGAGTCCATAACTCGCGACGCAACTTTCGCGGAAATTTTCGAAAACGTCGGCCAATAACAAGACATCGGTCTTGAGATATAGATCGCTGTATTCGCCGAGCGTTCGGATGGAGAATCGCTGCCAGACGTTCGCGGCGTGCGCGTAATCGTTCTCCGGCACCGTGTCACCGGTCAACGAGCTGTAGAACGATTCGCGCGGTAGTAGGTACGTGTCCTGCAGCTTGTCCGCGCGATCCACGTATTCGTACGGAAAGACACCTTTGCGCGTCAACAAATCAAAATCTTCGTTTGATATCGTGGAAAATTCGAAATGTAAAATTTTTAATTTTTCTTTCGTTAGAAAAGATGCTAATTTATCAAGGCTGATATTTAAAAATTTGTACGAATCTATGAATCGCAGGCGTACGCAATTTCGCGAATCTGATCTCTCGGTGGTATCTTGAACATGTTTTGTAAACGAAATATATTTTTCTTTTGTTATCGGCAGCACGTCGATCCTGCCTTCGAACGTCGTAGTTTTCGTGATGATAAAGTGCGCGTCATAATCGGATAAGTTGTGAAATACTATGGGAATGCAATATGAATCTTTATAATTTAGATTACAATTTGAGTGCGCGGGACTACGGTAACGACCGGTAAAATGGCAATGATCGCGTACCCGCGTGTCGTCCGACGCAAATGGTTTCTCGCAAATGTGACAACGCGTCGTGCTACGATATGCCTCCCACTGCTCTTTCGACAACGTTTCCATGGGGACATTCGCGGATAACAGAATTTTTACTTGATGCGTCAAATCTTCGAATTGCCGAACGAACCACGCAACGCAGTCTTCGTCGCGACGAAATCGATATATCGATAACGCGTCGTCGTACGAGCATCGCACGTAGTATCCGATGCTAAATACCTCGTGCTGGTAGATATACGATGCGTCTTCCCTCTCTGCCGGTTCCGTTCGCCGTAGTACGCACTCCAAGTCCGCGTAAACGATGAATGGAAGTCATTCCTTATTCGTGTGGTTCTTGAATTCGAGCCACTTGTCGTCCTCGCTCGGCAGTCGGATGGCGCAATCGTTCATCTTTTCGCAGTCCGTTGCATGTGACTGCAATCTTTCAGACGAACTGAAGTAATGTAGACATCTGCAAACGGAAAATATGATTTTTAGTATTTAATAAACAATTTTATAAGAAAAATAATAAAATTTGTTAAAATACATACGCAAAAGTATTTCTTATGTCCGTATTTATTCAGTTGCGAGCTCACAAAACGGGACAGATCTTTGATGTACGCAAAGTGCCCCGCGTTGTCGTCGCGCGGATCCTGCACGTACAATAGATTTGCGTGCTTCTCCATCTTTCTTGATGTTAGCTGTATCGGGAGAATTTCCTTTTCCTTGATACCGTTGATTGAGATGTCGTTGAGATGTTCGAACTTCTTAATTTGGTTCAACGTCATCGGAAACATAATGTCTTGCAAATTTAACACCGTATAATACGGGTACGACAATTCCCGATTTGTATTCCTTTCAGCCGGATGCAGAGCCGCGACCATCGACCACGCGAAACACGCATTGTCATTGGGTCGTACATTGATCATCGCTCGCTTTAACATAATTTCCCGCGGTAATTCGACGTAACATCCCGCGTGCATTGGATTATATTTATTCACGTTTACAGTCAAATTTAGAATTCGCGACAACGCCCATCCACTGTCGCATTCTTGGAATTCTTCGAGCGACGCCAACGTGGGTTCGATAACGTATTGCTCGTACCATTCGTCCAAATTTGACACTCGAAAGAGTTCACTATTTTTAGTGTTTATACTTTTGTTCGCGCGTTTATCGCTCGTCACAAACTCGCCGTTAAATGCAGTGTTCACTTTCACACTATCGTGTCTTTGTACAATATCTCGCACTCGCTCAAGCACTACACCACCAGCGTTTTCTAAAAATTGTCGCGGCTCGATATAGTCCATATTGATCACCACACCAGTCAATATACGGTTTTCAAATGCCTATCGATTTCTCGCCAAACGAGAGATTCAGTGTCTCTACTCGCGTACTCACCACCAACATGCGCGAAACGTCTTTCTAGTTGTACTTTTGCACCCGCGAGTCGCGCGGTCCTCGTCACCGCAGATTGTCTATTTGCAACGGTGAGTCGAGGACGGTTAAGTTCCTCGAGTTGTTCGATGCACTCCTCACATCGTTGCAACCACGCGAAACACTCCACCAAGGTAGCGACTTGGCTGCACTGCTCCAGCAGCTCGCGTTCCATTCGCTCTAGGTGTTCCATATTGCAAAATCTTGATTCTTTTAAATTGTTGTTAGTAGTAAGTGGGGCACTATGGCGCGTCAAAACAAACCCCCACCACCTTCCCACTGGCGCCAGGGGCGTGGCCGAAAATCGGCAGTCGCGTGGAAATGGAGCGTTCTGATTGGTCGGTGGGGATCGGTGATGATAATTAGGTAATTAGTGGGAGCGTTCTGATTGGTTGGCTCCGTAGCTGCCAGACGCGTGATTGGCTCTACCCATAGTGCCCATGCGCGCGATTGGTTGTCGAAATGCTAGACGAGGTAGGGGAAGGGTGAGAAAGCGTCTGGGACCGATCGGAGTCCGAAAACAAAATGGCGACTGCGAAAAGAAATATGTCTGTAAGAGGAATATACTTGTCGAGAATGGAATGCGATTTTTTGTTCGCGTGGGATGGAGCGAAGAGAAGAAAACCGATTTTTTCAGGAATTTTATTGGTTGTATACGGGATATGAAGAATTACGTTTTTCTTAGGGCGGAAGGTTTCTAGGCGTCTCATAGGCGGTGAATTTTTTGTATGGGGGCAATATAGATTACGAGTGGATATAGGTTTTGAAGACATGCGATTTTCAGTGTGTAATAACTATTATTTACCAGGTCGTACGGTATTTGGCTGGAGGAAAACAGGAACGGACAGGTTCAGACTAAAGGTTTCTGACGACGACGACGACGTCGAATTCGGAGTTATACGAAGCTTTTATTCTAAGACAAACACGCGGATTGAATAAATTTTCTAGATGTAAACTCTAGAATTTTCTAACATTTGGAGTTATACACTGGCGAGGTCCCGTATGTTCCTTAATTCTATACACAAACGAAAAATATTTAAAAAGATTAGATATTTCTAGCTTGGAATTATGCGGGTAAAATTGATTTTAAATCGGTGGGAAAGGAAGTAAAATGGACAAAGAATTTATGTTACAAAAATTAGATTTATTGTTATATCATTATACAAATTATACCATAATAGTGTTTCTTTAATGTTTAATTGTTCTTAAAAGTACAAGTTTGTATATGACAGCACGTTACATGAGATTTTTCACATTTCTTTTTTCCATGAAGAAAGATTTTACGAAATAATTGTACGATTAGTTTATCATTATCTTCGTAATTTTCGCTGAATATTTTGAGAAATTGTTTAAGCTTATAACCGCGAGACAAATAATAAAGAAATACGCAGCAATATTGTACCACAGGTCTGAGAAA